GTGAAGCTTTTCCCACATTCACTGCACCTATGACGTCTCTCTCCAGTGGGGTGTTCCTGCTGCTTTTCTATCTTGCTCTGACGTCTACAAATTTTTCTGTACTTAGAATCCAGAGGAACATCTCTTTGGAGTCTGCTAGATATATCCTCAAAATATTCTATTTCTTTTAAGATTTCTTGCTTCGGCACCAACTCCTTGTTTTCACTGTCTGGAATAATAAATGAACCAAGTAATGCCATCTCTTTTTGTTATGAAAGAAGACAACCATATATGATGGGGAATAGGAAGATCCACATCACACACACATGTTAAGAATGACAATATAACGTAAGGAAGAATTAAACAAGGTTATTAAGGATAGCAAGGACCTGTGGTGGTGCAGTTGTTAAAGCATTAGGCTGCTAACCAAAAAGTAGGCAGTTTGGACCTAAAAGCTGCACCATGGGAGAAAGATGAAGCAGACTGCTTCTGTAAAGATTTACAATCTTGGAAATCCTATGGGGCAGTTCTACTCTGTCCTACAGGGTCACTATGAGTTGGAATTGACTTGATGGTAGTGGGTCTTTTTGTTTTTTTGTTTTTTGTAATTAAGGCTAGCAGAGCAAAGTATTATCAGCACTGATGAAACGGCTGGAAAGACTCACTGAGAGAAGATGAGGTCCCCATAGAGGATGTACATAGGCCAGCATTATAGAGCATTTACTACAAACCAGGAATGTTCTTAAGTGTTTTACGTGCATAATTAAATCCTCAAATGACTCTATGACTGAGGCACTATGATTATCCCTATTTTACAGATATGTAAACTGAAAGCACACAGAGGTTAAATGGCATGTCTGATGTCACAGAGTTAGTAAGTAGCAGTGCTTAAATTACAGCCCAGGCAGTTTAGCCCCTATACAGACAGATCAGATATCCTCTGAATGGACTTGTCAAAGTTCTTACCTTGTTCTTGAAATTGGTGGGGGCTGAAAGATTCACATTTGAGCTGGGTTACCATGGACTGAAGCTGTACGACTGTTGATTCCTGCTTAGCCTTCAGATGCACCACATCTTCTGAGAGCACTTCTGAATGTCCATAATCCTGATCTGAGGCCTGGAAGTAGGTATGTTTGGGTTCATAAGAGCAGAGTGAAAGAAGCCCAAGCTAATATTCAATGAAAGAGATCATATGGAAGCATATGAAACATTTTCTAGAGAAATATCATAGTGGAAGGATGAGAGTTTAATTCTATACCCAAGAGCAAAAGAGCAGAGAAGGAGTGGCCAAATTGTGTGGCAGTTTAAAATATGTCCACAAATTCTTTGATTCTCCTCTCTTCAAAAGGTGGAGCCCGATTTCATCTTGGAAGTGGATACAGAAGGTCCAGTCAAATCTTTACATGACTAGTTTCGGCTCACATCTTCCCTGCAACTTAACGAGAGACCCTGCTAAGTAACTCCCGAATTCTTAACTCACAGAAATTGTGAGATAATGTTTGTTGTTTTAAGCATTAAGGTTTTGGGGTAATGGATAACTAATACATGTGGCTACAACCAACCAACTTTTGTTACTAAACTTCCTCATTCATTCAGTATTTGATGTCTAGGAGTCCATCTGCCTCCTCTCACCTGTTTCCCTGGTTCACTAAGCTCTTGCTCCAGATCTTCGACCATAGCCACTGCCTCCTCTCCACTCTTTGGATGGTGTTCCTGCACCCAGGCCTGTAGCTTCTCAGGCAGGATGGTCAGGAACTGCTCCAGCACCAGCAGCTCCAGGATCTGCTCCTTGGTGTGTTCCTCTGGCCTGAGCCACTGATGACAGAGCTCCCGGAGACGGCTCAGTGCTTCTCTAGGACCAGGAGTTTCTTGGTAACAAAATTGCCTAAAAAGTTGGCGGGAGGCCTCTTGGCCAGAAAAGCTATTCTCTTGAAGGTAAGTTTCTTCATCCCAAATAGGGTCTTCCTCCACCTTCACAATTTTAAACCCATTCTGCTTCTCCATTGAAGTAATTCTTGGATTAAATAACTCAGAAGGCTCCTCCATCTTGAAAGTGAAGAGGTAACTATGCTTTAAGATTTCCTGATTTCATATTCTTCAGGAGGGTACACCTGATGATAAGAAATCATGTATTAATAGAAATGAATAATAAACTGGTGGGGGCAGTATGAGATATGTTAATAAGATGCTATGCTATCATTAGAATTTTTGTTTTTAAGTACATGTAGGTGTTTACTTGTATATGCTTAGAAACTGGAAAAAGGGTGTGGCAGAGTACACTAGTGGCCCCAGTTATTCACCCCTCCCTGTAGCCATATTCATTGCCATGTCCTCCCACTCTCACTCTAGGTTCAACAATGTGATTTGATTTAACTAATATGGCATTAACAAATGTGATACAATCAGAGAATTGAAATACTTGTGTGAGTGATCTGATGCTCTGCAATTGCCAGGTAATTGCCAAGAGAAGGATATGTCCAGGCTAGCCTTCAGATGATTGAGAGATATGTGGAAAAGAGCCAAATCACCCCAGTGGAAGAGATTAGACCATCCTAGAGTAGCTTAACAGCCAGCTAACCCCACACATGTGAATTAGCCCAGAAGAGTTGCTTGACTGATCCATAGTTTACTACAGATGTATAAGTGAACTGCCCACTCCAGATCAGCCAAACCCCATAGACTTGTGTGCTAAATAAATGTTTATTGTTGTATGCCACCAAAATTTTGTGGTTGTTACACAGTATTATTATGGCAATGGATAACTAATATAATGGAGTAGCCCCTAGGGAGGGAAATGCAGTAACTGTGGGAAAAGACAGGAAGGAATATTTACTCTCACTGAAAAGCCTTCTGTACTTTTAATATTTTTAATAAGTATTTTTAAATGAATATTGTATTTTGAAAATTAACTTTGAAAAACACATCTAAGTGAAAGGACAAAGAATCTAATTTTTGTTTGCAAAAGCATCTTCATCATTGGACAGATATTTATGAAGCCATACTAAGAGATGGGAATATATAGGAGCTTACAGTCCCTGGAAATACAATTACGATACGATGAAATAAATTTCACAATTTTGGTGGTTTGCAGAAGGTATATTGCTGGAAGAAGTAAGAGAATGCATCTAAAATTCAAAGTTTCTACCATTACAAGAAACCCACAGAGGAATTAATTTCACAAATATTTACTAAGTATTATATGTCAGGCAGCACACACAATAAGAGTGAAGCAATCGCAGAGTTTGCTGTGTTCCCATCTTCCTTCATTGAACTGAAAACATGGCAGAAGGAGCATTAAAGAACATGTTCTCATTAGCTTCAACATATTTAGATAATGAAAACATAAACTCCCTGAATAACTGATGCAATAGTGGAAGAAATAGAGGAACAACTTAAATACCACGTGAAAAGAGGCAAATTGAGAAACAGGGATACCCTCCAGAAGGACTGGTAGGGGTCCTGTGCAACAAGAGGTGGGGTGAAGGCAGGGGACTGGTGGGGATGTATAGATTAAAGGAGATTTAACCATGCAATAATGGTCCTTGACTGGATTCTAGGTAGTACAAGCTAGTAGCAAAAGACATCTATAGGGCAAATGGGGGAAATCTGAGTAAGAACTATGTATTAGATAGCATTAGGGATTATCCTACACTTAGTTGGTGGTGCTAATGATATCTAAAATATATATTTTGGAGATGTAGATGGAACTATTCAGGGTCAGTAAGTCATGATGTTTGCAATTTATTTTACTTAAAGAAACCAAAGAAATGCAACAAAAATTACATAATGCTAATATGAAAGAGCACTCTAAAAGTGAGGCACTTGAGATAATTAAAATGGCTGACAGGTCCCAATTGAATGCCATTTCCATGGTCCCTGCTTCTGCTTGTTAGAGTATGTACTCTTGACCACACTTTTGACCAAGACAATTTGGTCTGCAACATTCTCAAGTGGGCCACCTAGAACTTGCGGGACTCAGAAGGACCCAGCTCTGGACAGTAGGAAATTGACTAAGGTTTCTAAGTTGTACTTGACTAAGGTTGAGTACACCAGCCAATAGAAATTCTTAATCAGTGAGTCTTACCAAAGCAGGTAAATGGCAATCAATCAAATGTATCCCCCTTTCCACTCTTTCCAATTCTGTATAAAGTTCTGCAAAAGAATATAAAAGATCTAGCTTATGCCTCCTCTTCAGACTGCCATTTTTAACTTTGATTTTGGTGCTTCCAGATTTGCAAATCTTTGACTCTGAATAAAACTCTTATTTTCAAGCAACTTTCATTTTTAACACTGTTGTTATGTGTCATGGAGTACCACCGGACTCATAGCGGTCCTCTCTTGGGTTCCCCAGGCTGTATCACTACGGCAGTAGATTGCCCAACCTTCCTTTCCAGGAGTGGATGGTGGGTTTGAACCGCCAGCCTTCTGGTTAGCAGTCAAGTGCCGTAGGCACTATGCTACCAGAGCTCTTATTTTTAATACTTATCATTATTAGGGAGCTCTAGTAGCGTAATGCCTACGGCACTTGACTGCTAACATCTACTTCCGTAGTGACAGCCTCGGAAACCCAAGGAGGGGTCGCTATGAGTCGGTCCAACTCGACGGCACATAACAACAACAATCATTATTAAATAAAATTGATAGATATATAGGGGTTCATTATTTTATTCTCCATCATTTCCTGGGATTTGGATCTTTCTATGATAGAAAAAGATTTTTTGTTTGTCTTTAATGACAAAGAAGAGACTGCACTAAATTGTCTACATTATCCAGAGAAGGTAGCCTCGACCCTAGACCAGAGATGGCCTTTAAAAGAGAGTTGGACCCGCAGAGGGACGCCCTTCCTCCATCTCCCCATCTCCTGTCGGGTCACAAAGCCCCACAAAGCCCGGCCTTCCAGGGATCTACCCTAAGACCCTGGCAGGGGCGTGCTCAGGACTTCCTCTCGCAGCTGGGGCAGCCAGCGCATACCAGCGTTGAGAAAAGGCTCCCGGGAGCCGCGCCTGCGCAGATGTCCCTTCCCCCGTCTGTACCAAGGTACGGACCTTAAATCTCCAAACAGTCCCGCAAGTCCAGACCTGGGGTCAGAGACTCACTTTCAGCTGTTGCCCCAGATCCGTTGGCAGAGTTGCAGCACCCGGACAACCAAGAAACCCCAAAGACCGGAAGTGCGTCAGCCTTTTTGAGGCGAGTCGCCGAAGCCCAGCATCTCACTTTTCTATGAGCTTTCTTAGACCTTCTAGGAACTCCGGAGGTTGTTGCGTCTTGATGACTAGGGATGTTCTACAAAGTTAAGGCTCAAAATCCCTCACCCGAAATCCCAGCTGGAGGGATTTCTGTACAGAGCGGCTCCAGGCATCTGGTAGTAGTTGGTCGAACAAACACAAACCGTTAAGGCTGGAAGGGTCTTCATAATTCTTCCGGTTCTAATACTTATCACTCATTCTTTCCTGAGTTTCTTCCCTTCCTCTGACCCCACTGATACCGCAATGGGAAGATGGTTCTTATGAGAGCAAGAATATTAAGTTTGTGCTTTGTCTCCAATCAGTCTTCTGGAGTCTCAGAGTCTAGAAGGAGACATGGAAATGCAAGCAAATAATTACGTAGGACTAACAGGTAAAATGTAAAGGAAATCAAAGTTAGTATTTGTAAATAGACTACTGTCTACCCACCCATTGCCTTGAGGTTGATTCCAACTCATAGCGACCTTCTTGGACCGAGAACTGCCGTATAGCTGAAGGGCTAGAACCACAGACCTTTCGGCAGTGGAATGCCTCAACTACTATGCCACCAGACTTCCTTAGGGTAGTGCCTGGAAAAAGGTAAATAAGCGCTTAGCTGCTAACAAAAAGATCGTTAGTTTGAACCCACCAGCCGTTCACCGGGAGAATGGCAATCAACTTCCGTAGAGATTAAACAACAACAGAAAACTCACTGCCATTGAGTCAATTCTGACTCAGTGACCCTATTGGGTTTCCAAAGCTGTAAATATTTACGGATCAGTGCGGAGCAGCTATTGGGTTCAAACCACTGATCTTTTGGTTAGCAGCCAAATGCCTTAACCACTACACCACAATTACTGCCTAAGGTGCTCTATGAGGTAGTTCTGCTCTGTCCTATAAGGTGGCTATGAGTCAGCATCAACGAAAACGGGTTTATTATGCAAAGTTAGTAGTGGAGAAGGGAGGGAAACTTGTAACAGAGCAAAATAAGAAGTAGAAGTTTGCTAGTATACAAGGAGAAAGGGGCAAGAAAAAGAAATTTGTGGGAGATGGAATTAAACATACAGAAGCAGGATGGGTTGAGACAACTTTGGTGGGTGCATTCAGAAAATTGGGCAGATGGACATGGTTGAAGAGAAGAATGGAGATGGGGTGCAGACCAGTTCTACTGTTTCTGGATTTACTAGCTAAAGAATTTGAGTAATATTGATCAGACTTGCATCTAGAAATGTCATTGTGGCAACAGTGTGAAAGATGGACTGGAAGAAAGTGAGACTACAGGAAGGGAGACCAGTTAGGAGACTATTCAAGAATCCATGGTAGAGATAGAGAGGGCCTGAATTAAGCAGTATCAAGAGGAATGGAGATGAGGGGACAGATAACACATATTAAGAGACTGGATTGATGGTTGTTTATTCATTCATTCAACAAACTCTCGTTGCACTCTTCACGTCACAGATTTGCTGTAGGAGCTGGAAATAATAATGAAGACGACAAGGTCCCTTAAGAAGATTATAATGGAAAGATAAATACAGGCAGATTCAATTTAAAAAGGTGTCTCTGGATTGTGCAAAAGGAGCTTGGGAGATACAGCGGGTAAGGCATTTGGCTGCTAGCAAGAAGGCAGGCAGTTCAAACCCACTAGCTACTCCATGGGAGGGAGATGAGGCAATCTTCTCCCTAAAAATTTACAGCCTTGGAAACCCAATGGGGGGGTCACTATGAGTCAGAATCAACTTGATGGGAGTGGCTATTTTGGCTTGGATGGTGCAAAGGGTTAAGCGTTCAACTGCTAACTGAAAGGTTGGCACTTTGAAACTGCTC